TTTTAATAGCTAAATTAATTTCATTGGCAACAATTGGACCACTAACTAATTCGGGGCCTGTTAATGTGTAAATTCTATGTCGGTGTTTATCTTCCAAGTTAGGTCGCAATAGACCATTGTCATCAATCGCGAAGAATGATAGAGCGGAGACCAAATCGTCAAGATCGATTAGTGCCCATCGACTGTCTGCGTTTATACTGATAGTAAGCATAGAGTTTTCTTCGATTCGTCTCTCGAAATGGAAAAATCGTTGATTTAAGAACGAGTTTCTATTAATCGATTGTGGGAATTATATAATTAGAATTTCATATATTGCGTTTATAGACTTTTGTAATTATTTACCTTAAAGTAACCCAATTTCGAGCAGAACTTCACTGCTCTTTCAATATCTCTAAAATCAACGAGTGATTGCGCTTTTGAATCACCGCTCCAAGCATTGAAATAGTGATAATATTTGACACATCAACTTTTTTAGCTGCCTAGAATGATAAATAAATATTCATTATTATACTTACATCAGTAAGAGCTCTCGCCAATTTAACAAGATCAGGTGCCATCCCGGAAACAAGAGCGCAGTTTCAAGTGTCATTCTGGTGTTCACAAGTTCTGGAGTACTCAGCCTGTTATTCAAAATAGTGGTTTTAAGAAAATTTGTCTTTATGAATAGCTTAATTATTTTGTAGGAAATCATATTCGTTCTTGTAAAATTAATATTTCAGTTTATTTAATATAAAGATGAAGTGGCCCTATCGAACCGAATATGCCTCACGATGAAATCCGCAAAGAACCATATAGTCTGCCGAAAGAATTCGAATGGTTCACAATGAAATTGAATAACAAGAAGTAGTTATCTCATCTTTGAAAATTGATTCTATTAATTAATTTATAGTTTATACGCTCTTTGCAAATTATTATGTCGAAGATGATGATGCCATGTTTCGTTTGACTATTCAGAAAAGTTCTTGAAATGGTAAATGTCATTATTTTTATTGAATTAACTTTCTCTCTTTGAATTGCTTATTCAATCTTTATTTTTAGGGCTCTTCAACCACCTGGATATAAAAAGGTATGTCAAAACGGCACTAGTCTATTGAAGAATATATCGATATGTACAGTACCCCAAAAGTAACGCCCGATTTAAAATTATATAAAAATTTTTTGTTGATTTATAATTAAAACGGTTCTTTCATATTGATAGTGGCATAACTTCATTTTTTCAAAAATACAATTAACTTTAAATAATATTAAATTTAGAAATAATTACTATATATGGTTACTTACCAGTTGAAGTTGGACCTATATCAATTGGTTCACCGAATGATGCTAACTTCTTTAAGGTATAAAGTAAAACATTCGTACTGTGTAACCAAAACAAAAAATGAACATTAAAAAAAATAATTTGTACACATTGAGATCGATTATACTATTATACAAAGATAGCCCAATTTTACTCAAAATTATCTACAAGAAAATCGATTTCAATTAACTTTGTAAACTTTGAAAGTTACCAATGCAAAACATTAGTCTTTTTGACAAATTCCGTATATAATTCAACGTCATCGATTTCTTGGAGATAGTTTTAAATGTATGAATGGTTGCTGAATAGCAAAACATCACTGTCGTGATACAACCCCTGGCAGTAAAATTTTAAATTTTTCAAGCGGCGGAAAAAAATATTTGTGGTTACATGTGATACGGTTTAGAACCCTGAGTTAGTTGATAGGTATAGATATAGTTATGGAGTTTGAATACCGTCAATAACGAAAATTTACAGGAAGAGCAAAAATAAATTCAATATTGGAATCCGTACAAGGTTCAATAACACCAAATAGTTAATATGTTCAACGAGGTTCAATACAAAGACACTCGACATAACAACCTTTTTGACGACCATTAAAAATCGCGTTATAGGGAACCAAACATAGTAAGGTTTTCCTATGTGCCCGAATGTATAAGAATCTTCCATAATTAGAGATCAATTTTTTCTCATTGATCAATTTCCGTTAATTTATGAGCAAAAAAATGCGCTTTTTAGCCAGTTAACTGAGCTTTTTTTACGAGATGATCATTTTCTGTTTGGTTATTTTCATAAGATGACCAATTAAAAAAATGATCACCTTGTACTATATTAGAGTTTATAATAATAACCGTACATATTCTGGTTGATAATCAAAAAATCGGCCAAAATCGATTTCCGGCCTAGTCGGTTGATCTTGAAAAAAATCGGTTCAGTTGATTTTTAGCTAATATATGTAGATAGTAATTGATAAAGAACGCGCGCGGTTATTAAATTTATAATTTTCGTTATTATTATTGTACTAAAAATCAACTGACTAGAATGCTACACCAGAAATCGACTAATCGACTTTGGCTGATAATTTTGGTTATAGTTGACCAGTCGAATTTTTGGTTATCGACCAAGAACACTACTTGTGCCATATATCAAAACAATTGGACCAATTACCCAAAATTGAGAATATGATTGGATATTTTGACAAACAAGAATTCATGGAACCCGAATATGTGTGATGACACCTTTTCTATTGCACTCAAAAGTTCATGAGCGATCTGTACATTAAATTATTTATTATTTATTATTTATTATTTATATTGTTCTTTTTTTGTGTACTCCCTATTCTAAAGTATCCAGATACACAAACTCGATAGATAGTCACTATAAGATAAGTTGGGTCTAAGATAAATTGCTTCTGTCCCCAAAATATAATAAACTATAATTAAACTTACCTCTATAAAAAATAAAAAAAATAGCCAGCCTGGAGATTTTATCTTTTAGTTTCACTGTGTACTTTAAACCGTAAAATACGGCAAGTTCAAAGAGATCAGACAAAGACTCCGCATTTGTATGCAAGGCTGATAAAATATAAAATTTTATAATGGGTCTCAGGTCACACTCTCTCGGGTACCTTGAGAAGTTATTTATATAACAGCATTTTTAAAAAAGAAATCAATGAATGAATGAATACATAATGAAATATAAATGGGGTTTTTCGGTACAGAAGAAGTTTATTCAACAGCGTTTTTAAGAAATCAATGAATGGAAGAGTGCGTAATGCAAATATAAGTTTTTTTTATAATGGGTCTCAGGTCGCACTTTTCGAGTGTTTGAATCAAAAAAGAAATTGATGAATGAAAGAGTACGTAATGAAACATTATTTATTCGAGAACCCTGATTTAAGTACATTTAATCAATAATGAGGCATGATAAAAATTTTTATATACAAAGAAACTCTTCGTTTCATGTATATTTATTTATAGGCTTTAATTCATAACAGCTCGAAAAAGCAAAAAGATTATGAAATGTTTGGCTAACTGATATTTTTCTGAGGCTATTCAAAAAATATGTAGGAACGACGGCACATGTTAAGAGCCTGAATATGCAGAAATATTATTTCTCTTTATATATTCGGAGTTCTTCAAGAAACAAATAGTTTTGCTCTTATAACCAATCGAAGCGTTCATATTATGGATTAAGTGTAATAGAAACAGTGTAACTTGTTTAGCAAATTTACACCATTTCTATTGCACTCATCCTATACGTATGTTGTTCTTTATTACTTCTTACATAAACTTAAACATTAAATGCATTTCTTTAATCCTAATTTGAGAATTCTTTCCGAATAAAATACAAATGGTCCAACAAAATCTTTCTTGCGCTGAAATATTTTAATAAATTTCTTATGGTGAGAAATTTTTCTAGAAATCCGACTAGGGCTGGTTGCCTAAACTGTTTGATAAAGTAGAAACTAAACTTCGACTATAGCGGAACTAAATTTCGGCTATAAAAACCATATTTTCGACCAAAAATTTTGTAGTCAAACCTAGTTTTGGCCACAGCCCTAACTCCAGGTAAAAAAATCCGAAACGTTTCGCCCAGTGAACTTTCAGTTTCACTCTACAAGTCCGACCCCCTTAAATTTTGAAAAGCTATGTAGATCAAAATTGGCCGCCCGAAACACTATATACGTCACATTTGAAACGAGATAATTGATCTCAAAATATCAATATCACATTACTTTATTTTTAGTTCTTTTCGTGAAATCGTTCAAAAACCCGCCAAGTATTTAAATATCACATGCTGTTATATCGAGGATCACAGAAATTATTATAATATGCAAGGATAAGAATATTGGAAGCGAGAATTTTATGTGAAAAACTGGAACCTCATATTTATCTATTATACAAAATTCTAAATTACGAATACGTCGACCATATTTCCCTGAACTGAAAAAGTCTTGACGATTAACATTTTATTAAAGAAATATAAGCAGCTAAAGAACTAAAAGACGGAATGAAAGAACAAACTAAAGAAGAAAATGGAGACAACGAAATAATAAACTAAACGAATCGGATAATGAATTATCTAATAAAATATATCCCCGGAACTATTATTTGCGAGGAATGATCGGAATCGTTAAATTCAAAATTGTTAGGGAATTTTATAATGATTTATTTATGCTTAATATTTTATAGTGAGGATTTGAAATTTTGACTAAATGTATTCATTATATTTTCTAATTATACATTTATCATCCTCAAAAGGAAATTGATTATTAACTGATTGACCCAATGAAATAATTTCATTAAAACGATGATGAGTATCATCAAAAGTTATTATATTCTGTTGTCATTTCTTAGAGTGAGCTAGATATTGGTAGCGAAACAAACGCGTATTTCTTTTGTTCGCGAAAAATCCATTTCTTAGTGTTTGAATCTTTCGCGTTTTTTGGCTTATAGTTAGGTTAGGATATAAACTTTTGTGATTCTCACAGGCTATTTTCTTTAATATTTTGAAGAAATGCTTGACCTCGTTTGATAGTTTTCGCCACTTTAAACTGCTGGTTTATCAGGATCACCACGTTTTTTTACAGCTGGTTTAGTTAATTCTTCGATAGAAAGAGTTAGTTGGTAAAGACATTTACTTAAAATTAGCAATTCAGCATAGTTTAAATCGTCGTACCGTATATTACTGTGTAGAATCCCCCAATAGTGTATCCTCCTAATAAAGTACCCTCCCCAGAATACCCTGAAAGCTGAGACAAATTCAGCAAAACTGATTTAACATAACATTTAGGACAAATCAACATTCTTTATAATATTATATTTAATAATAATAACTATGGTTGAAGTTGAGATATAGCTTATGTACCCCCGGGTATTCTATACAGTAATATACAGTAATTCGTACTAACAACGGAATTAGACAGCTTGAACAGTACAGTGCAAATGAAAGAATGGTTTTGTGTTTGATTAAATCAAAACGGTGAAAATTAAAAACATCGTCGCTTTTATAAAATTGTTGACACTATCACATGCTGTTACTTTATTTACTATTTCATTTAATTGGTATACTGTTTGTAATATTGACTATACATGCAGCCCAAACTGTTTTCCTGATTAAAGTAAAAAAGACAATTATTATTAACCTTAGCCTCAGATATATTACAAGGGTCACAAGCTTGTAAACATAATCTTTAATTCCAAACAAAAAATAATCAATTACTTCCGAAAATAAGAACACTCAGGAATAAGCACCACCTTATTTCAATCAAAAGTAGCAAAACTGCCACTGTATTTAAGAATATATCATTGATTACAATATAAATTCTACATATTTTTTTGAATTATAAGCTTTTACCGGTTAATGTCCATGTAACAGAAGATATGAATAATTGCCTTAGATAATTTCGATCCACGAGGAATAAGCACCACCCATTTTTTAAGTCCAAATCATGTTGGTTGAGCATATTTTCGTAGTCATAATAATTATAAGAATAGAAAATAGAGGAGAAAATGTCACCCTGCTTTGGATATAGACAAAAATCTAATTTCAGCTATTTCTGTAAATACTATCAATATTATTCCTGATGTTATATCAATTTTATTAATACCTTGTGATATTTCTTGCTATTTCGACTCATAAAATGAATGCAAATGTTTGTAGAGAAATTAAATATCTTTACCGTAGAGCACTGCTTAAAATACCACCATTTTACAATATCCCTCTTCTTAAAGCACCCTCTTTCCACCAATAAAATGACTGGATTCGTGAATAAGACCAGGTATTTAAGCCGTGTTGCATGCCTACTTTATATTAAAACTATATAAAACGTACATTTATAATTTTTAATTGATTCTCGTTAAACTATACCTACTAAATAAATATTAATAGAAACGAAGATTCATATCCTAATTTAGGGACGTGCCATTTAGCTAGTTGTAACAACTAGCCAATCACATAAGACGTGATAACTAGCTGACCCCATGTATCCATGGTAATAAAGGTATATTAGCTAATACAGTAGCCGTCATAAGTATCCGACCGCCCGTAATTTTTCATAGATCATATGTAATGTACCAAAATTTTTCACGT